TTCACGGTGTGGCAGCATCACTCCTCTTACGCAAGGGAACATCCACCCACCCTTAACCTCGTGCTGGCGCCCGCCGCTCCGGCCTCGCCGTAACCCTTCCGCCCTGAGCCTTCCCCTTCCCTCCCTCCCGTCCACCCCGGGGCTTTGCTTGTGGCCCCCGGTGACTCAGCCGGTTCAGTGGGCGCAGCCCAAGTTGCAAAAGAGCCACGGGCTTTTGCCACGGGGCCACCCGCATCTGACGCCCTCCCTGCTCTTCCAGGTACCGACGACCCATCATTTCTCACCCGCATCCCTCCTTCCTTACAGCATTGCATCCAGCCGAGGACAGGGCATTCCTCATCCTAAAAACTTTAGGATGAGCCACAAAACCACGATCAGCACAAGCTCACCTTACGCTGCGCCTTTTTTCAGGTACGGTCCCCTCCAAGACCAGCTTCTCCATGCACAGCATCCTGGTGAACCACTTCCTCCATGGTGCGTGGTACCCCAAAGGAGGGGCCGGGGAAATCGCCTTCCACATCATTCCCGTTATCCGGAAAGCCGGAGGCAACGTGTTGGGAAAGGCGCCGGTGCAGAAGATCCTGCTGGACTCCCAGGGCAAAGCCTGCGGTGAGTGCTGGCACGGGATGGGGCACACGTGGCTTCTCCCTGCCATGGCGTTGCTTTTAACCGCAGCTGGTCCTCCCGCCTCGCCTTTCCCTTCCAGGCGTGAGTGTCAAGAAAGGCCAAGATTTGGTGAACATCTTCGCTCCCGTTATTATTTCGGACGCTGGGATCTTCAACACCTACGAACGGCTCCTGCCAGCGGAGGCACAGGCACTGCCTGGTAAAACACGGCCGCGCTGGGTTTCGTTGGGGTTATGGCATCAATCCTCCTCCGAGCCACATCGAAAAGCAGCTTCTTTATTTCTTAGACATCAGCAAAACCCCATCGTTCAGTTGCAGCATTCAAAACACCGTCCCTGGCCATACGTTTCTTTGCAGGGTTTTTAATCAAGCCTAAATTAATTTGCTAAAACTGGCCATACAGTTGGCAAAGCCCTGGCTTGCTGCTCAGTTTCCCCTAAAAAACACAGCGTAGTGCCCAAAAACTTGTAAAAGTTGGTGAAACGTCTACTTAAAGTTGGGTTTAGTGCTGCCACAGAATCTTCTGGCTGCTTTGCAAGGGTCATGGTTGGGTGGAACGGGGCACCGTTGGCTAAGAGCTTTCTGGGCAACTACGTGGTCCTGGTCTACAACCATTTAGCGTTTGCGGAGCAGGAGCACATTTGAATCCAAGGTCATTAAAACCAGCAAAAGCTCAAGTCAAGGGTACCCTGAAACATCCCCTATAGGAAACCGCAGTGCTGCTGCCTTCCTTACAGTTTGCAGGAGTCGCCATCCCACCCCTTGAGCACACATGGGATGGTTCAAGAGAAATCAGTTTTACAAGCCAACATGGGAGCAACGTAGATACGAGTGGGGCTTCTTCTAGGAGAAACTACTTCTCCGTAGCTGAGGATCCCAGAAAATACTAATTTTCCCCTTCTTCCCTCCATATCGCAGAGATCCAGTCTCAGCTTCGCATGGTGACACACGGCGAAGGGGCTTTCACCGTCTTCGTAGGTCTTAATGGCTCAAGGGAAGAGCTGGGGCTGGAGCCCACCAACTACTTCATGTACCCAGGAAACGACCTGGATGAAGTGTAGGTTTGGCTTCACCTTAGACAGGCTTCATTAAGCATAAGGAGATGAATTCCTGGGTGGTGACTCAGAAAACGCTCTTGGCAGACCCTCGCTGCCTGGGGATTCAGACGTAGCAAGTACGCATAGAAAGGTTTGCATCAAAACCCACCTCAAACCCTCGTATCTCTCTGCAGAATGAATCGCTACCTAGCTTCTTCCAGAGAAGAAGCTGCCAAGAACATCCCTCTCCTGTTTGTCACCTGCCCATCGGCCAAGGACCCCACCTGGGAAGCGAGGCACCCAGGTAAAGGCTGAAGCCAACCACACACACTTGGGAGTGACTTGAAAACTCTTGTTGACTGCAAATGAGGAATTTCTCCTAAAATAGCCATGGTCAAAGCTGCTGAGCAGGTTGCTCATGGAAAGTGGTCTTCAAGACAACTGGACCAGGATATGGGACCACAAAGACCTGGGGACATCCCAGGTTTTTGCATGGGGAGGGTTGGGTTTGTGGCAGCCAAATGGTGGCATGAGGGTGGGCAGAAGGACAACCGCCCCAACCCCGTCCTGCTGCAGGTAAATCCACACTGGCCATCGTGACCTTCAGCAAGTACGAGTGGTTTGAGGAGTGGAAGGACAAGCAGGTCAATAAGCGGGGAGATGATTACGAGGAGTTGAAGACCACCTTTGTGGACGCTGTCATGCAGGCTGTCTTCAAGCTCTACCCTCGCATCGAGGACAGGGTGAGGAAACCTGGGGTTCGTGGGTCCTCCAGCTCCTCTCCTGGCTCCTGTCTACCCAGCCCCATCCTGCAAACATAGGAAGTGGGTCTGGGTCTGCTGGACATGAGGTCCAGCTGGGCAGCACAGCACCAACCCATTGCCTCCTGACCATGCATGGTGCAAGGCAGGGATGATGGTCCTCCGGGACTGTCCTGGGACCAAACTTGGCCAGAACCACCACCCAAGGGTCTGCAAGGAAACCTGTCCTGGCCCGTACCCCATGAAAACAGCTTTCTAGGTCACGTAACACCCCACACCATCGCGCCTACCCCCCGTTGTCCCCTTGTCCCCCCCCAGATCGAGTACCTCTCTGGAGGGACGCCCCTCACCAACCAGCACTACATTGCCAGCCCCAGGGGGGAGATCTACGGCGTCGACCACGACATCGCCCGCCTGCAAGCTGAAGCCATTGCCACCTTCAGGGCGCAGACGGCCGTCCCCAACCTCTACCTGACAGGTACCACGGCCACCACCCAGACACTGCGTTCTCAGATGAGGACATCTCTGGGGAAGCAGGATACGGGGGGAGAAAAACCTTCAATCCTTCAACGAAATAAGGGGACAAGCTGCGGCCGTGGGGTGATGCAAGAGCCGCTGGAGCACGTCTAAGTGGAGCTGCACGGTCCCAGTGGGAGGAGGAAAGGGCTGTGCCGCCTCCGGCTCCTTGGACGTTGTCTCCCTGCCCAGTGCTGATTTAATTTAGCTGGGCAGGATGAGGCCCTCTCCCTGCTGGGGAGAAGGAAGGGGTCAAACAGGGAGGGGTTTTGTGGGTTCAAACCCAAGGGCTGGCGTGGGGGAAGGTGGCGAAGGCGGGTGGTGGTTGGGGATGGGGATGCCCAGCAGCACCGATGGTCAGCTGGGGACAGAGCGCGACACCGGCGTGTTGTGGCCTCCCCCCCCCCGCCGCTGCCATCGCCGCCTCCCGCTCTCTTCCAGGGCAGGATTTGTGCATAGCGGGCTTCGTGGGAGCCCTGCAAGGAGCCTTCATCTGCGCCAGCGCTGTCCTCAAGCGCAACCTCTATGCCGACGTGGTGCGGCTGAAAAAGCGCACGCAAACCACCAACGCCAAGAAGAGGGACTAAACGTCTGTCGTCCCACTGGCCGGAAAAGCGCACGCAAACCACCAACGCCAAGAAGAGGGACTAAATGTCTGTCGTCCCACTGGCCGAGACCTCCCTTTCCCCCCAGCGCCTTATTTCCAGCTGTCAGTCACCCATAGCACATCCTTCTCTAACGCAAAGCCAAAGGATTACAGCCCAGGAAGATGCCGTACCCGTTTCCAGCCAGCCTGCCTTGGACCTTACCCACCTAGAGCTCACCTCCTTCCACCACAGCGTCCACCGCTAGCAAGTAAAAGCCAGCGCTGATCCCTGGCCGCCCTTTTGAGGGCAAACCCCTTCTCCCGGCGTAGGGAAGAGGGGCTCCAAGAGCTGCCATGTGCAGCAGCGGCCAGGAGAGAAGTCAAGGCAACCCCAAAACCCAGGCTGCACCAGAAGGCAAAACCCAACATC